TATATGGAAACAGGAAAAACATAATCAATATTAAGTCTAAGGAAAGAAATAATCTCCTGGTAAGAGGAATAGAGAGTTTTTGGTCGGGTTCAGAAAGCATTGCAATTTTTTATAAGAGGGATAAGCAAGATGTCACTGGTAAGATGATATCTGAGCAGAGAATCAAAGAAAGAGAAAGGGCAATCCATGAAACTGTCTAAGGAAAGAGTGTTCCGGGAAAAGTTCTAAGATGCTGAGTTGAGACCCTGTCTAGAATGAAGGAAAGGGCCAGGAGCAGTCACTCACACCTGTAATCCTAGCACTCTGGGAGGCCGGGAGGGTTGCTTGAGGTCAGGAGTTTGAGACCAGCCTGACCAAGAATGAGACCCCCATCTCTACTAATAATAGAAAAATTAGCTGGGCATGGTGGCACATGCCTGTAGTCCCAGCTACTCAGGAGGCTAAGGTAGGAGAATCCCTTGAGCCCAGGAATTTTAGGTTGCTGTGAGCTCCGCTGACACCACGGCACTCTAGCCTGGGCAACACAGCGAAACACCGTCTTAAAAAAAAACAAACAAAAAAAATAGAATGAAGGAAAGGAGGAGACCACTGCAGCTATAGCAATAAGCAAGGGGAAAAGTGGCAGAGATGTGGGCAGAGGGGTGCCTGGGGACCAGATCGTACCATAAGCCTTGCAGGCCACAGCATGGAAATGGATGATTTGGAGTAGAGTTGTGTGTGTGTAGGTAGATAAATGCCTTGGAGATAAAAAAAATAGACGAAGGTCTAAGCACATCAAAATCCACACTCAACTAAAGAGTGAATGGGGTCAAAGTGAAATTCCATAGAATATATTGGCAAATACCAAGTATGAATTTTCCTTTTGTTGAAGATGAGTAAACGAATCAAACCAACCAGGGATCTATGGGAAATATTTCAAAGCAAGGGAAATGCTTCCATTTTGAAATTTTGCTGGTATAAGAAACTTGTTTGGAAAAATTCTTAATATCTTCATAAATGGAAGAAAATATGTTATTTATAAACAGGAATAAAAATTTCTGAGGGAAAAGGTGAAATTCAAGGAAAATAGAAAGACATAATGATGACATCAGGGAGGACACTATTCACAATAGCCACAGTAGCCACAGCAGATATTATTTATTATTAAACATTTAAATTTGTGCTAGGAACAGTGCTAATTCCCTTACAGATGTGACCTAATTTATCATCACAATACTATTAATATCTAGAATTTTAAAAATTTTTGCTGATTCTGAAATCTAATTAAATTTACCTATGATCTTTTCAACTCTGAAAACTTTTATTTCTGTATTTGATTATTATTTCTGTTCCAACAGTCTCTGTCTGTCTATCTATCTATTTATTTATTTATTTGAGATAGGATCTTGCTCTGTTGCCTGGGCTAGAGTACAGTGGCATCAACATAGCTCACTGAAACCTGAAACTCCTGGGCTCAAGTGATCCTCCCGCCTCAGCCTTCTGAGTAGCCAGAACTATAGGTGTGCACCACCACACCTGGCTAATTTTTCTATTTTTTGTAGAGACAAGGTCTTGCTGTTGCTCAGGCTGCTCCCGAACTCCTGGCCTCAAGTGATCCTCCTGCCTTGGGCTCTCAAAGTGCTAGAATTAGGCGTGAGCCACTGCGCCCAGCCTCGAACAGTCTTTTTATTCTTTTGCTATCATCTTCTAAATTACCATTTTAATTTTTTTATCATTTTCCTTTAAATACAGGAAGAGCTCTTCAAAGTTATTTCCATATCATTGATTTAGTTTTCCTCACTATCAGTTCTATACTACTTTATGGAGAAAGGACCCATAGTTCCTACTAAAACTAGTCTAGGAAAACTTAAATGTAAATATGACAACTTTTCAAGACAAAGCTAAAAAAATTTAAAAGATATGTGAAAATTAATATTTTAACTTTAATAACATGAATACAAAAGCTCATATTATTTAATAGGGGCAAAGAAGGGGAAGTGATAGAAGGGAGTAGGGGATGAAAGGAAGAAAAGTTTATGCTAAATTTAAAGGAGGTAGGGAAAAACTCAACATATACTATTTCATTTCAGCCTTTAATAATCACAGAACTCTAGATTAAAGAATTATTTTCTGAAAATGTGTAAGTTACTGACTGTAGAAGTAAAAATGTAATGTACACCATCCCAAGCAAGGTGTGAAGATAACCAAAGAAAGCATAACTCATATAGCAAAGATAGGGAAAACAAAATAAGAAAGCATAAATTTCAGGAAAACATAAACACATGTCAATAGTAAACCAAACATACCAGTTAGGATTGTAAATGGGAATAAATTCCATTATGAAAACAGTTTCATAATCAGCTTTAAAAGTTAACTGTATAATACATATACATACACATATGCATAGAAAAACAGTCTGGGCTTCAAATGTTAACAGTGGTCAAAAATGATGGGAGGGGGTTAAATATAATAAGGAAAATTTTTAAGGCAAAAATAAACACTCTTCTTTAAAAGGAAAATATAGCATATGAACAATAAAATTTTAATTTTCTTCTTTATATTTCTGTTTTCTAACATGGAAATAGTTAAGTATCATGAAAACAAGGAAATAAACAGCTTACCAAGTGAACCCAGTATGACCAGAATTGTTAGGATCCACACAAGTACTCTTGATATATACCTGATTATCACCATTAAAATCATGGATAGAACTGCAGGGAAGATAAATAGAGAACACACAGAATATTATTTGAAAACATGGGAAAATATAAAGAGAAACCCCTTCAATTGTTGTTTAATCCCAGGGAAATAATTTGTTGCTATTGACTAGTTCGTAACCACAATTTAGGTAAAAGAGCAATTTCATTTTGACTTTGCCACTTGTACCACTTAAATAGCATCACTCAAAACCAAAGGCACCTAACTGTGTGGGTTTATAAACTATGGAAAAGAATACATGCAAATGCACATGGTGACTCAAAACAGCACAAGACTGTTGTGGATTCGCCCAGGGAAGACATCAGACATGCAAACATACATGCCAGCACACAAAGTGTAGAGAATGACATGTCATGTTGGTGACAAGAAGAATTACCACACATAGACAAAGATCAGTTAAATTAGGTGCTACACTTCCTTGAGTAACCTATGCACTTCAGGATCAAATTCTCTGACAGTCAGTCAACAAGCTAGATGGCATCTTATTTCTTTCTAGTTGTTTCTCCTCTAGAACTCCGAGGGATAGACTGACCCTATGAAATAATGTCCTGAAGCCTACTGAGGCCAAAATTCCTCTGACCTCATTTCTTACTTGGGGTCAGGGGTCCTGATTGAGAAGGCCTTCCTCAAAAAGGAGCAAAGCTTAGTATGAGTAATAAAGCCAACTCCTCTACCTGCCCCAAGCTAAATCCCCACGTGCTACAATCTTGAGTAAAAACCCCAAAAAAAAGGGGGGGGGATTTAACCCTTGCATGGGAAATACACTTCTAAAATCATAATTTATAAATTTTTAAATTATCTAAAGGCCAATTCTACAAACAAATGAACAAAGGTATTTTGGGTTTATATTATATTCTTAAGCCTCAAAAGAGAATCATTTTAATTTCTAATAAAAAATGAAATTCCAATAGTTTAACAACACTGTTATTATTTTTATTTGAATTTTTAATTTCTTGTTTTAAAGTATTCAACTATTTCAGAAACCCAGTAACTTTTTTATATAAAGCTGGACTAATAGTCACATTTCTCTGGGCCATTTGCAAAGCCAAATAAATGGTTAGGACTCGTGTCTAGGTAACATTATTAAGGTACTCACTTTTGCAATAAATGTACAGGAACCAAAAACAGATGGCCTTTCAAATATCACAGAAATAGATTTTCATATGGACAGCATTATTTCAATTGAGTCAAGAACTACCTAGCAAAAAGAAAATACTCTCTAATGACAGGAAAGATGGAAATACAGCTTGTATCTTCTCAAAGACCACAATTGTTTACAGGCATAAATACTAATTGTACTTATTAATGAAATAGCTGTTTGGTTCCTACCACAGTTTACTTCTGCCAACTAAGAAGTCTTACAAATTCTGATATGGCTACATGTAGTTCTAGAATAATATAGGGAGTTTTCATCTTGAAAATAAATTTTTTATTTGATCATATTACCTACTTATTAACTAGAAAATTCAGTGGCTAACAAGTGGAGATTTCCTAATTTTTCCAGCAATACATTGACACTATGAACTGAAGCAATGAAAAGAAAATTGCATACTTCAAACGCAATCTGTCAGAAATCTATGTTCTTAGATGAGAATATGGAAGAGAATATGTAGCTTATTTTATAAGTAAATATGCCTTTTAGAATCATAACTAAAAACAGAGGGTTGTTGATTCATTAAAAGAAGCCTCCTGCTATCATATTAAAGATAGTTATAGACTTAGTAACCAACATTTGGGAAAACACCAGTTTTCACCAATGAAAGAAAAAAAAAGGGAAATGAGTTTCAGATATATATACATATTTATATGTACATATTTATAACTATATATAATCTGAAACAATTATTTTGGCTATGGGAAATTAAACATTTTACAAGTATCCCCAGTTGTATCCATATTTTGGCTAAAAGACAGAACAGTCTTTTACTGCAGTACTATGTAATAGCTAATAATGAGAAAAACGATTACCTAGTGATAACAAGCAAAGTCCCAATATAATTTCTTTGCTGGTCATTACTCCACTAATCAGCCTGTGTAAGACACTATTGTCACTGACAAAGGTGATCAGGGCCTCTGCAAACTTGGCATAGCAGGAAATGTTCACAGGAGCACAGCGATGGAAGAATGGAATAGGTGCACTGGTGACACAAGAAAAAAAAATCAGAAAAAAAATTACTCCTACTTAATATAAATGCCACATCAAACACACAAATGAAAGGTGAATATGGCTGCAATACACTCCACCCTCCACATATCGTTATGGGAGCTAAGAGCTGTGTGCTTAATGCTATGAAGATGACCGTCATGGGTAGTGATGCCAATCTTACCACAAGCCTTATCAAAGAGGGTGGAGTGCATGTTCCAACAGAAGACATTACCCTCCCCTTCTGAAAAGCAACACGCACACACACACACACGTACACACACAAAACTACCAAAAGCAAAACCAAACACTTAAACTCCTCAGCCTGCACATCTACCAATCGAGGGTCAGATGATAAAGCTTACAAACATATACTTAATTGAACTGAAAATGAATTTTTGCCATAAGCGATTTAAAAATAAAAAAGACACATGCTTTTACTTGAAATGTGCCACCATTAATAGAATGTTTCCTCTAACAGAACAGCATACAAAATCTCAGATTAATAAAGGTGTTTAGGGCGTTGAGCTTAATACCTCTCATATAAACAAAGTCATGCTGAGACGTCAACATACAGCATAATGTGAAGCTATTTAAAACAATAACCATGAGTACTAACATATGGAAATGCTTATGATGTAATAACAGAAGGGGAGAAAGTATATCTAGTGTGATGATGACATCTCTACATAAAAGATTATACATATTAATGAGAATAGAAAAAGAATATTAAAAAAATGAAAAATATCTGATTTGCGAGGGTCACAGAATTCTGGGCTATTTTCTTTTCTTTTTATATGTTAGTCTTAATCCAGGATTATCTGTGTTCAAAAAAAAAGGTAAAACAATCAATTACTTATTCATTTATATCAGGCTTATATGGACTGAAACATTTACTTGTGAAGGAACACAGCTATGTGTGAACTGTGGTGTTGAGCTGGTTTGTTATAACATGGTTTTACTTCAACATGAGAAGATGGTATACATCTAATCAATGTGAGATTTTAAACAAAGAACTATAAACATGCATGATCTGCATGGATTCTGAGAGCTATATGTACGTCCATGCATGAATACACACTTAAGTGTGCATTAAGTTAAAATTTAGCTATCACTAACATGAATCCCACATTTTCAGAATTGTTCATAGGACTATTAGTCACAGCTCTAACACATTTTCGACTAGAATGATATAAATGTTCTCCTCTTGGTTGGCACCATATTTTGGTCCAACAAGCGGATGAGGTTACAGGGTTGGGCACCAAATTCCAAAGTTTCCAATCTCAGCAAAGCAACTTTCTATAACCTGAAGCAAAGGACTATCTTTGTTTCCTTCCTCCAAAACTAGTAAGAATATTTCTTTTCAAATAAGAATATGTATGTACTATGTATCAATTTTTCTTAACTATTAGTAAATGAGCACCACTGGTGATAATAATCAATATCTTCCATGCTATTATACTTCATGGAACAATAAAATAATTTTAAAGATCTAGTCTTACCTTAGTTATGCTTCAGTAAAATGTATCAAACACACTAACATAATACATGACATGAGTGTTCATTTTTAAAAATTTGCTTTGTGTCCCTGTGTGTGTATTTGTGTATATCTCCAAAACAGCGGCAGCGAAAGTTCATGCCAAAGATTTGGCATTTTATCAGGGACTGCAGGAAGCCAGAGCGTTCTTGAGTAATGCTTGAACTGTAGGTATTCAAGTCATTGTTTTTTTGACCAAAATTGTTTCACTAATGACGTAAAAAGACACTAAATTATAGAATACTTTTAAATGAAATGGATTTAGTTAGAAATATTATGAGAATCAAAAAGGATTAACTGTAGGTTACTAAGTCAGTAGAGGCTGATTTGGGACAGAAATCTTTAAACTGACAACTCTGTTGTGACCTTACAACTGTTTCTTTTCTGATGTTGTCTAGAGACTGTTTCTGCCAAGCTAATGTCTCTGTCTAAGGACGTTTCTAACCATATTTTTAATAAAGTCTAGTTCTCTATTCTTCAAAACTACAATACTCTCTGCTCTATAATTATCTGCATCTTTTCCCTCTTTATTTATTACCCTATCGTCTCTGATATAGTGTCTAAGTCACAGGTTTGCCTGCAACCTTAAACGTAAAATATATCCACCCTGAGGAGACTTGATGCCTTTTTTCTTGTTTTCAGTACCCACCAATTTTCTTGGCCCTGTTCTCCTGTTTCCTCCCCCCTACCCAGATAACTATAAAAGCCCAAATTCTCCTAACATTGCACAGCTGCATGTCACTCCATTGCTCTTTCTCAGTCTCTCCCTCTGTTAGCTGAAAGAGTAAGTACTGTAAGTGTCTTCAGATCCTCCTCCTCCTCCTCCTCCTCCTCCTCCTCATCAAAGAGCCCACCCATAAATCAATGATTCTAAATTATACAGGAGTGGCATACTAAGCATTTTCAGTATTTTTCTGATTTTCAAATTTAGGATGAGAATAGATGATTTGAAAAGGGAATGATTGTACTCTATTTATTTAGGAGGAAATGCTGAGTAATATCTGCTCTGAACTTACTCTTTCAAGTTGTTTTTATACTGTATATTAACACTTGGCAAATTGGAGAGAGTACTTTTATAAGTATCTTTCAAAGAATTGGAGCAAAGTAACAACATCACTTTACCCTGTAATTCAATCTATGTCAGTTAAGAAAAAAAACAAAAAACAAACCTGACAGCTCTAAATTTAAAGGTATAAAATTAGCATGAGCTGATTAACTACATTGTCTAGCTGATAGTCAAAATTTGCTGTTAGTGGTAATGAATAACAGAAATAGAAGGCAAATAAAAGAGGAGATAATATATGGGCACATTATTCAAAAATAAAATTAAATACTTGCTTTAAAGTAAAAAGCACTAGATTTTGCTTGAAATCTAGACAAACTAGATTTCCCTGTTTGTCATGTTTTTCATTACTGTCCCTTAAAAATAACTCTACCACCATGGGATTTTGGTACTTGAATTATTTTCTTATCTTAAAAAATCTAAATAATTACAACATTAAAACGGCTTATTTTATATTTTAGCATTTTAATCCCATGTGACATAATAAATTTAAGATGAGATGAATTAGTTGATTTCGTACACCTCTGAGGAAAAAAAAAATACTTCTGGCTGGGTATGGTGGCTCACGCCTGTAATCCTAGCACTCTGGGAGGCCAAGGCAGGAGGATGGTTTGAGCTCAGGAGTTCAAGACCAGCCTGGGCAAGAGCGAGATCCCATCTCTACTAAAAATAGAAAAAATTAGCTGGGCGTCATAGTATGCACCTGTAGTCCCTGCTACTCGGGTGGCTGAGGCAGGAGGATCACTTAAGCCCAGGAGTTTGAGGTTGCAATGAGCTATGAGCCTGCCACTGCACTCTACCCTAGCCCGGGCAACAGAGCAAGACTCTGTCTCAAAAAACAAAACAAAACAAAAAAACCCCCAAAAAATCACTTCTGAGAACCCAGTATATATGAGATCATTTTTACTTTAGTGTCTAAGCTAAAAGATACATTTTGTGCTTCTTAATTAAGAGGATAAGCATATTCTATTTACAGTAAGTTTTTCTACCTTTAAAAGCCCATCAAATATTGAATTTTTAAGAAATCAATGTAGTTCCATTAGGAACTGATGCTGCTTCACTTATTGAAACATTAGACAATGAACACAAAATGAATTTATAATGCATCTTTTAAAGATTTTTAAAAATTAGCCATTCATAGGAAAATTGTATCTCACCTTGGCAAACATGCTGTCCGTTTGCCTTTAAGTCCAGATTACCACAATTAATGAGCTCCCTAAAGCATGATGACAATGCCTAATATTTCTTATCCATATGCCTTTATAAGAGAAGGCAGGACTTTGTATCTCACATAATTACTTTAGAACCTCAGGTTACAAATAAACAATTACACATGATTTCTAGCTAGAAGTTTCATCGAAGAAAGAATAACAATAAAATGTTCTGGCAATACACAAAAGGCAGGAAATAAATAAGTCAAGAGCCTAATGTCAACATGGAGTGGTTCTCATACATTTCTTTTTATTTCTCTCTTCTTTCACTCCTATACTCTTCCTTTAAAAAACACTAACTGTGGTATAGACACTATAAGATTCTGGATTCAAATTCTGATTTTCAACAATTAGGTGTTTGACCTTGAATAACTTACTTAACCTCTCTCACCTACCAATTAGGGGCAATATCTTTACAGGTTTTTGTGAGAGTTAAATGAGATAATCCATATGAAAGACTTAGTGTGGTGGCTGGCACACGGTAGATGATTTGTAAATGTTAATTTACCCTTGAATCCTCCATTTAAAAAATATGAATAGATAACATTTTTTTCTTGGCTATTTATTTCTCATCTCTACATTATTGTATTATTAATTCCCCAGCACTTAGTAACCTTTCTGGCATTCCAGAGGTACCCAAATAAATGATGAATAAACTGAATTTATAAAATCTGTCTCTACTATTGCTATTTTCCCTAGCTATACCTAAAAGTATTGTAAGCATATGGGCTAGCTATTCTGCATATTGCTAACATGTTTGGCATTTCGCCAACAGAGCTATAAATTTGGATAAAACTGCAACCCTTTCTAGGCATTCACTTTTAAAATTCAAAATCTCTTAGGAATGGTAACTGTCTGGCTATTACGTATCCCTAGCATTTTACTTCAAATTAGTTTACAATTGCTTTTCTCCAAAACAGGCATTGCTTTTAGCTGCAGAAGGTCCCTGGGTACCTAGGAAGGTTGGGGCAAATGGAGAAGCTCTAGAAATTGAGAGAAATGATACTTCCTAAGCCAAATGCCAAGCACAATAATGGATATTTTAAAAATATTATTTAATTCTTAAAACAATTCCATGAGAAAAGTATGACTATTCCCATTTCACACATGAGCAAACCTGGTTTACAGAGAGGTTAAGAGACTTGCTCAAGCTGACAACTAGAAAGTGGTGACATGGAATTCACACCCAGACTTATCTGCACTCAAAGTTCAGGCTCCTCTGTCCCACTAGGACGACCCTAGGAGGACAGCAAAAGAGACATAAAAGATGCTGAGGGCCACTTGCTCACCTCACAGTTTTGTCTAGTGCTGGTCTTTTGGCACTTAAAAAAAAAAGTCACCAAAAACATGGTACCTACTAGACTATGAGTTTAAGGACAGAGACTAGGGCTTACTCATCTTCGCAGACCTGGTATCTAATACTACTATGTGTGGAATGGGGTAGTGCCCCAAGTTTTTTTTATTAAAACAAATTTATTTTTACTCTCAGATCCTTTCACTTTGTTTGCCAAATACTAAATAACTCTGGTATTTACAAGGCCTGACTCCCCTCCTTCTATCAACTGTTTCTTCTCTTTTACTTTCTAACAGGCTTACTTCAGGCATAAGTGGTAAGGTACTTAGATTGTGAGGTACTAAAATAAGTAAAACACACAGCTCCTTAAACACAGCATAAATACAGCATGTAGTTTTCACGTAGTATAAGTTCAGCATTGCATCTGAGATTAGTGGGCTATTAGATGATGACCTTTGCAGAGGCCATTTCTGTCCATCTCTAAAACCCATGCCCCTAATACTTCGCTTTTGTCTTCTGGTGAATGCCCTTAGAATGCTGTGAGATACGTGTGAGTAGCCAAAACTGGAACATCCGAGATAACCAGGAAGAGGCAGTCCTCAACATGGTGGGGTCAGAGGTCAGAGGCAGGGGAGGGTGGGCAGTAGGAGCTGAGCCACCCCCACCTCCACAGCATCCACATTACACAGGAGCAGAGACCTCCCTCTGACACCCAGGCTTTCTGGCTATCCTTTCATTATGTTTTAATGTTTTAATACAGGGCCATCGGAATGACCCTATATTAAAAGTATGTATTTAAAATAGACATTGCCAGTTGGGTAGATAAGGGTATAAAGCTTTTCTTGTTTGCATATTGGTACGTTCTCTCCAACGACTCTATTCAGAGGACCTCCTTTCCTTTACTGCCGCAGCCTTGCTAATATTTTCAATTTTCATGAATGTCATCTCCTTACCTGCTGGTCTAAGGCCATAATTTGTAGGTCTCTCTTACTGAGTATCTTTTAAAATAGTTCCTTTATTTTTATGTCTATAGGCTGTAAATTTTGATTTTCAATAGCAACTTGACAAGACTAAAAGAGCTGGAAATCCATTCAACTGATATTATATCCTTTTTCTACTTCTCAACAGAAAATTTCAAATTCAAGTTAATAAAGCACAAGTTATACCTGTAAGTAATCCAAAAGAGAGTAGACATGAGTCTCAAAAACTTTTATCCAATAGCTCACTGTAATATACTGAGATACAATAAAAGTGGTTTTGAGTCAGTTTTTCTGGACAAGTTGACTCAGAACACACAGCAATATACCCTAAGGTTCTCAGGATCAGAACACTGCTCCAAAGTATGGATGTGTTTGTGTACACATATACACAGACATAGATATACATACCTAATTCTGAGGATATAGTCTATCATACCTGAGAATTTATCTCCTTTTTAAAAAAATCTATTCATAATTTTAAAATGTACTTTACTTATAACTACTGTGAGACCCTTCCAAAGAACATTTCTTGTTTTATCTTTGTATTCACTGCACACAGTAGATACTTAATAATAAATGTCTATTGAATAAGCCCTTGAATAAGATATGGCAAACAACCTAATACAAAGAATGTACCTAAAAAGTATAACCGGAAACAAACTATGGAATAATCACTGGCATACCTTTTAAATTTACAAAGTAAATTAAAAAATAATCCCAGAGAGTATTAGTAGGATCAATTTCAAAGAATCTTTGGATACTGTGAGACCTGGTTTCTAAGTCTGTTGCAAGTTATAATGATTCAGCAATTTTGTGTTCTTAAAAATTATGGCATGAAAATAAAAACAAAAAAAGTAAGCCACTAAAGAAATTTAAAATATCTGAGAACAAGAAAAGTTGTTTATGTGGTTTTGTTTTAAAATATGAAATAAATGTTGTAATTTCTAGTGCTACTTCTAAAATTGTGTTATAAAAGTATTGGACCTGGGCAGCTGGTATCATCAAGTGACTATTTTTTCAGAATAACATATATAATTTAAAATTTACCTACAAAAACAAGAATCACAAGTTTAACAACTTTGCAATAAAATTTACCTCGCTGGAACTGGTAGTTTGGGGCAAAGAACAGAAGATTTTGAAGATGTAGTGTATTCAGAAGGCTTTAGGTTGTAGCTACATAGTGCTGAACCTGTTGGGAAAAAAAGTCATATGTCAGCTGGCAGAACAGAGTCTAAACAAACTCTCTTACTGCTTCACTTTAATTTTATATTATTCAACATATACAACTTTCAAACATTATAAAATTCATGAGAATCTGATTTGATCTATATTATCAGTTTTAATCATTTAAAACTGATTCTTCTCTGAAATTACTGATAATGTAATTCATATACAAATTTTAATTAATATTAAAGGTAATAAAAATAAGAACTAGAACTACCTTTATTGACAGGTTCTATGCAAGATGACATATATGTATTACATCATTTACTATAACTCTATAAGGCAGGTATTATTAAGCCTACTTTAGAGAGGTAGAAATAGAGGCTAAGAGCTAATAAGACAAATAACTTGTCCAAGAACACAGCTAATAAGTAATAGTGCTGGGATTAAATACCACATCTTTTTGACTATAAAGCCTGGGCTCAACTACACATTCTATCTCTTTTCTATGCTCTCCATTACTAAATATTTAAAATTACTGCACAGAGCATATATGCATGCAGATAATACATTACTTTCTTCTTATTTAAAAAGCAGAAAACATTCCTAACTATAAATAAACTGAACAAATTGGTAAATTGATAAAAGTGAATCCTAGTTTTCAGAGAGTTTGAAATACCTTAAATTCAACCTCAGTTATGCAAAGAACTATCTATTTTTCTGACTATATAGCTAACACACTGATTATTTCTATTATTATTTCTAAATAATATAGAAAATTAAGATGGGTACAGTCCATCAGATTCAATATAAGTCTTATCTTACTGATCCCTGATTTTGTGATGCAGCAGACAGAATACTGGAAGGTTCATTGTACAACAGGTATCGTTAAGTGGGGGACCTAGGCTCCAGTTCTAATTCTGCCAAAGACTCACTGCATTATATCACATAAACTGCTTATATTTGATTAATTGAAGTGTCCACCAGATTACTAATTTGGTCAAATACTTTATTATTAAATACAAACAGAATAGCTTTGCATTTGTATTATAGTGATAACAGAATGCTACATTGTACCACCATGAAAAAAGCTTAAAATATAGTGTGATGCAAAAACAGCAGATTTCAACACAGAATTAATTACGGAAAAGGCATGTGAGCATATGAGAAGGAACTGGAAGGGAACACAAAAAATGAACACAGCTTGATTTGTTGGGACAACAAAATTGGGGGTGAATTTATTTCATTTATATCTTGTCCTATCAATCAAAATAATTTTTAGAAAGCCACAAACCACCATTTAATTCAGCAATGCCACCCCAAACCAGCAAAACACCTGCTAAGTGTTTAAATATGTAAGCCATATAATAGTATACTTACATAAATACATGTAGCATATATTTTATATAAAGATAATCTAAGCAATTTGACAATGCAAAATGAGATTCTTAAAAGTTTAAAAGAGATTCTTAAAAGTTACATAGCATTGTTCTTTAAGCTTTTTCAGCTTAAGGTAGACTCAACAAGAGACTAAGTTTTAAAAATTGTTTTTGGCTATTCTTTTCCCTTTTTTTTGGTAGAGACAAGGTTTCACTATGTTGCTCAGGCTGGTCTCGCACTAGTGGCCTCAAGCGATTCTCCTGCCTCAGCCTCCCAAAGTGCCAGGATTACAGGCATGAGCCACTGCGCCCGGCCTTTTTCCATATTAATGACAATTTTTTTAAAACAGTGAAGCATGAATATTAAATACTTAACTCTTCTAAAAGTATTGTCTTTCATGTTTAAGGATAATGCCACTAGATGCCATTTATAGCAATTTTGGAGAAAACAGGACAGCAACGGCTAGCACATATTTTAGCTTAGTCCTGAAATAGCTAAGAGTCCTAGTATAGAATTGCTTATGAAAAAATAGCAACTGTGCCAATAACTGCAGAGCACCCAATGTGATCATCAACTTCCTGATCTGAATTGTGAACTTACTTCTTTCAGAGTCCAAGATAGAATTGATTTGCACAATATAAAAGGCCCTAACTAAAGCACTTTGTGTCGGTGCTGCCAAACATACCGCTTCATCTGAATTTGGTGAACATAATCTCCATCCCCACCCTTTCTTCATTTAAAAAAGGAGGTCAGCAGGTGCAACAGAGTTCAATTTTATAAATACTTTCCCAGGATAATACTCAATGAAAGGATAATAGCCTTATCTCTGATGGTATTCTGGGACACAGGCCAGTACTAAATAGATCCTGTACTACATAGATTAAAGGAAAAAGATCTTTATAATGTGTTAGTAGTAACAATCATAAGAAACCTTATACTGTTCCCTGCTCAAAGGCTGATGAACAGAGGAGCCTCAATGAACAACATTCAAATAATGCAATAACAGCAAACATTTTTAAATTGTTTTTCTTTTCATGTTTATTAGCTAATGCATTTTCAGTGAACATTTTAAAGGTAGTAGCTGTTTTATTTTTTTACAGTGAAATTATAAACAATGCTTAGCACAAAAGGTTTGGACAGAAACAATAAGACAAAGTTTTCCTTCTAATGTAAATGCAGGTAAAAACCACACATGAGTGATGAAAAGTAGAAAACTAAAAACAAAAGCTTATCTAAAGCACACCAGAGGCAATCCATGCAACTCAGCTGATGTTATTCAAAGGCTATCAGAATGAGTAATCTTAGGAACCTAACCTGGGTATATAAACATTTATCATGGTAAACGGTTGCTGTGGCCCCCAGAATATTTAACTACTACAATTTTTCAAATGCCTTATAATATTCAATTATTTATTCTTTAGCTCAATATCAGTTATGTCAACTCCCCTAAGAAGTACGTTTCCATCACCATATTCCAAACATTACAGACGAAAAAAATAAGTAATACTTCCAAGGCCTTATAAGCAATCACTGGCGTATTTACAAACAGAGTTCTTTACTCCTAAGCCACAATGCTTCTTTTGTGTCATTCCTAATAATCATAATTGGACAAGTATTCAATAAGCTACTGGACAAAAAAAAAAACACACGTTCTATAGACATCTCAAAAACAACATGTTTGGAGAAAAATTATTCCCATCACACACTTCCCTTCTATATATTTTCTATCCCGGTTAATGGTTCCACCATCCATGAAACATCCAAGTCAACCTCTGTCTTGTTTATCTACCGTCTCCCTATACCATTCAAGATACCAAGTCCTGACAATCAGACCTTCCTATGTCATCTCAGGCCTTCATGATCGCCTACCGTCGGCTAGCATCAAAATACTCTCTTAAAGGGTTTCTCATCTCCATCCTGCACATAACCATCACAGTGGTCTTTGTAAAATGCAGATTAGTCATATTATACCCTTATCCTCAGGATAAAGTCCAAACTCCTCGGATTCAAGGCCCTCCTAAAGCAAGATTCTACCTAAAACCCCAGGCTCATTTCAGCATAGCAAACTACTTACGATCAATTCTTGCTGTTGTTTTTTTCACATGCTCTTCCCTCTGCTTGTATTGTCCCTTCGTGACTAGCATCTGAGTGAGTGTGAAAGTTGGAGCAAAATTTTTGCAGACTACTCAGATTTCACCTCCTCTGTCAAGCCTTCTCTGACCCATCCGACAAGGCTATTTATTACTTAGCTCATTATAAAACATAGTATTTTTTATTATTTTGCAATTTTTTTGTTTATATATTATTTCTATTTTTAGAATATGAGCTCTTTGAAAAGTAGGACCTTATGCTTTCAAAATATCTGGAGCCCCCACAGATGGCATCCAAAAGCCTTCTGTTGAATAAAAACAACATCCTGAGTGGGGAAAAAAATGAACTTTTTAATCTCTTATATTTTGGTGTTACATGATACTATATACACAATATTCTTATGCTTTTCACCACTCATTACAAAGTATATTATACTGTGTAAACAGGGTTTCTCAACCTTGGTATTATAACATTACGTGTTGGATAATTCTTTGTCTTAGGGGATTTCCTATGCATTACAGGATGTTTAGCTACATCCCTGGCCTCTGTCCACTAGATTCTAGTAGCCTCCCCTAAGCCCTCACCCAGTGTGATGTGACAACCAAAAAGTTTCCAGGCATTGCCAAATGTCCTTGTGAGGAAAAAACACCCTTAGTTGTGAAACAATGGTTTAAAACACTACATTATTTAAAATAAAGATACAAAACGAAGAGTTGATATGTTTGGGGATAACATTTCTTGTTTTAAATTTTGTTTATCATCACAGTGATAGTTGTATAATGCATTCAAATTAAGGGAAAAAAGATTCCTTAAAACATTTTTGAGAAATTTGCAGTTAATAAATAAGAAAATCTCTCAAAGTAGAACAGTTTTCATTATGAAAGACAAATTTCACTGTCCTGTGAAGTCCAATGCATTTAGCCTCTTTTTCTCTAATTAGGAAACCACTTTACATGCTGGAAGAATGGAAGACAACTTTCCAATTTCCGATTTTAATTTCTAGTAACCTATTAAAAATATGGACGTATTTGCAATTCCCAAGAAGCACCCACCTACAGAAATTAGCCAGCTGGGGTATAGCATCACTTGCCAACCACTGTTGGCACATACTAAGTGAATTAATTTTGAACATGTATGGGCAAGACTTCTACTAGGTGTGGTAGAGGCAAGGAAAAGTTTGGTTCTCTATTATCCTGCAACCTCCTTAAATGAGGAGACTGTACTTTATCTTTGTATCTCTGGTGCACACTTCATGGGGACAAAGTAATTGTTGAATGAAGGAATTAGTTTAAACCGCATTATCAAATGTAAGGATTTTTTTCTCCCTTTTAAACAACCAAGCATTCTTGCAGGTCTCTGACTTGGAGGCAATCAATTCAGTTGCTAGAGTTGATCATTTCATTCATTTATAAATTATATCAAGCCCAATCTTTTGATTCATTGTGCCAAAAAGAATCCATACTAACTCTGTGGTTTAAGGTATATTAATACTCATTGGTAAGAAAGAGAGTAATATACTGGCCATCTATTGATACTGACTCTAAGCCTAGCAAC